CCCAGTTACAGCATGTGTCAGAAGGGGCTACAGAAAAGCCTGCTGGCACGGTTTGATTGTCAGTCGGGCTTCTTTTTTATCAAGACAACGTTCCTCTGGTGCAGATGTTATGACTCAGCTGAAAGGTCTGCTGCTTGCAGAGCAAGCACGAGCCCACCCGCTGCAGCCTGGAGGGAGCGTGCCTCTGCCGCCTGTGTACAGCAACGTCCCAGCACTCAGCAGCAGCTCTGCCCGGCCCCAGCCTCTGGCAGAGCCAGACGAGTGCAGCCAGGGACGGCAGAGTCAGTAGCCAATCTCGAGAGAGAGCTTTTCATGGTCCAAAGAGAAGCCCAGCAGTGGGAGGGATGCACGAACGGAAAAGGTGGTTATAAATGTAGTGATTCACACAGAGCTGAGGTTTCTGACTTGGATTTTCCAAGCAAGCAGGGCAGACAGAACAGCAGAATGGCAATTAGGAAGGAGCAGGCAGCTTGGCTACGTGACTCTGCGAGCCAGGGCACAGCCATCCCTATTGCACACCTACTGCAAACAGTACAGGTTGCTCCTGGGATCACAGATAAACCCTGGCATGCACAAGGCTGCCCAGCTACCGTCATGCCATGCAGGGAGTGGAAACGTTCAGCCACAGCAGCAGCAGCATGCTCTTTTCCACTGGATGCCACTTCCCTGTTCGGAGAGCAGATGCCAACAGCACAGGGCCACAGTGCCCGAGCAACAGCTGCACTCGCAGCACAGAGAGGAAGAAATGGTGAGCAGACAGCCTATTACAATCATTTCCGAATAGCTTGGCAGGTCTTTTATCAGAGCATCAAACTTCCCTTGTGGCTCTTCCATTACTGCTGTGGCCCCACAGCTGCAGGAGAGTGCAAACAACACTCCAGGTCCCATACGCCCTGCCACAGCGTGCCCACCCTCCCGCAACGGCGATCCCTGCCATGCTGGCGCACAAGAGCCACAAATAACAGCAAGAAAAGGCCAATTTTCTTAACCCTAAGTGCCTTCCCAAAGTAAGGTGCTTCCTCGGAGCATGGATGAAGCACAAATGGAGAGAGAGAGAGAGAGAGAGAGAGAGAGAGAGGAATATGTTCTGGGGCTTTAATTACACCAAATTACTCCTTTCATGATGGTGGTGGGGATGGGGTTACTTCTTAATGCAGCTGGACACAGCTGAAAAATAAAAGCCCAGATGCGCCTCCAGAAAAACAACAGCAACAATCAGCACCGAGCAGCCGCCCCTGGCTGCCACCTCTGGGCGCCCATCCTCGGCTGAGAGTCCCGTGCCCAGGCAGGCAGGGGGGGCGGGCGGAGAAGCCACTCTCCACAGCCAGCTCTTGCTCCGGCGTCCGGGCAGCACCAGGTACGTACCCCCTTTCCGGCCAGCTGCCTGGTGAGGGGAAATCGCTGACCTTTCCGCAGAGGTCCCCAGGGTGCCAGGCACTGTACCAAACACAGGAGGAAACGCCTCCCGTCCCAAAGGGAAATCTACAGCAGATACAAGGAAGGCCAGACAGGACATGGTAAAACTAAAAAGACTTCTCCAGATACTCTTGTAGGCCTTAGAATGGGTTTTAGGAATGTAAATGTTATGCTTTATGAGCGAGAAACTTTGGCCTAATAAGGTAAAACGGAATGTTGAAGGAAGAAGCAACAGAGGAAGGGGTTATGGTGTTTACCTCCGGCAGCTGGGAGCACAGACTGGCCCTGCTCCTGCTCCAATAGCTGCCAGACAGCAACTCCAGAGCAGGGGGAACCTTGTCTACCAGGGACAAAGTGCCACAATAGCGTTCGTCATCCTGTCACACTTGTGTGCATGTGCTCTATATTAATGATCAGATGTCAAAAGAAGGGCTCTGCCCTGAGACTATGTTTCTTTGATGCTGAACTCCTGTTCCTGTTAAGGTTCCCACCACCTGCAGCTGCAAAGAGGCCTTCGTTTCTTCACAAAATACCCTCTGACACTGAGACAAGATTTATTACTAGATGGTCATCTATTAGTACGGCTTAATGTCTGAGCATTACACAGTGTTAATATTTGTGTCCTGCTGGTAGGTCACAATAAAAATACAAAATCTCCCTCTGACCTGGTTTTGGTTAAAACAGAGCTGATTCTCTTTTAGAAAATCTTCCTTACAGCCAAGTTCTTCTAAGTAACTACATTTTTCTGAAGTTGGCTGCATATTTTAGAGACAGTGTCTGCTCCAACGCTGATAACACTTGATGTTTATAGTTTCACTGAGCTAACAATAGGAATGAAATGCAGAAAAAGGCCCCTGTTTATAATTATTACTATAGCAGCCAAGATCACTGATAGACATTTTAGCTTCTGCAAATGAGGAGTCATAAAGGGTCGTACTTGCAGGGAGGGGCGGACAGAACAGGTGACCCGATATTGACCCACGAGGTATTCCATGCCATGCGTGTCATACTCGGTTTAAAGCTGGGGGATCATGAGGGTCTCACTCTCTTCATCCATAGCAGCTTCTGAAGAGGATCCTGCTCCTTGTTCTGCCTGCAATCCTGATCCAGATTCTGATCCATGCATTCCTGAGTTCCCATCTACAGCTGAGTCCAGTCTGAGATTTCGTGGTGTTACCTGGCAGCTGCTGGTGGGAGGTCAGCACCCGCAGCACCCAACTCCGGGAAACTCAGTATAGGGTTTGTATATTTTGCCTTATTTCCCTTATTATTAATATTATTAGTATTATCAGTAAAGCTGTTTTAATTTCCAGTTTGTAAGTCTCTCTCCCTTTTCCTCCTTTTTCCTTTCCCTGGTGCAGTGGACGGGGTTTAATAGAGAGCATCTGCCACGCTGTTTATTGCTACCCTGCCCTAAACGGTGACACCCTCCTAGCAATTTCTTTCAGGTCGTGTTTATCATGCACTGTTTTCATTTGTTTGGGTATTCTTCCTGTCTGTGACTGTCTGTGAAGTTCTTTCAAACCCACTACTTGGCAGTGCTGGCTCTGGGGAGCAGGCACCCAAAGTCAGCTTGACTCCCCACTCATACCTGTGGCCAGCAGAAGCCCCAGTGCACTGTGGATGAACCCTGCTTCACTTGCACAGAAGCGGCAGCTAAGAGGATAGAGATGCAGGTAAAACTTCACTTTCAGGAGAGGTTTGATACCAATACCTGGTTTCTAGAGAGCAATGTTGCCGCAGGAGCTGAACTGAATCAGAGACCCTGACAAACCCTCCACCATTCATGTCCCACATGGAGGACCAAACCCCTCCAACTTAAATTTTTCTGCTTTAACTAAAGGCTCCTGGCATGCACCTACACACACAGAAAAGGAAAGGGCAAGACCACGTAGCCGCCACTCAGATGATCTGCCACGGTAAAGCAGAAAGCAGCAAAGGGACAACATCTCCAGCGCGGAGGCAGCCCCTCCAGCACACACCACCTGCAGCTCAGGACCAGATTCTGCTCTCTCACAGGCAGCAAAACATGGCAGAAGTTGTCCAAGGTGCTCAGAGCTAAAATTGACAGTTTCCTACATGTGGAGGAAAACCCAGGTGCCTGTGGGGGTTTCTGGCTCTCGGACCAAGCTGGCTTTGCTTGCCCGAGAACTTAGAGAGGCAGAAGTTGGAGTCCCTCCTGCCCAGCTCAAACCCTGCCCTGCACACAACATTGCCCTGCCCAACACATGGTGCATACTCTGCAGACTATCAATATAGGCCTATAAAGCTTTCATTCCTGCAAATTTGGGGCAACCGCATTAGCTATAAGCAAGCTACACAATTCAGCCTGTACAAGCAATAATAAAATCTGATAGCAACCATCATTCTCACACACATCGCCGAGGCCTTGTTGTGTTCATCTATGCCCACATTAAGCCTTTCTCTACCTCCTTGCATCTCTAAATGCAGGCCTGATCCTGAAAAGTGCTAAATGCCTTGCACGCACAGCGACTTCAGGGAGAGTTCATGGTGTTCGAAACCTTATTAGCCCAGGCTTTATCTGTAGGGGGTGATGAGATCCCCAGCGACATCAATCAGCACACCTTCATTAGTTAGAAAAGCTACGCTGATATTATGGTAGCTGAGGATCCAGCTATACACTTCATAACCTTCAGTATATCATCAAACCCATGCTGAATTCTTTGTTCTCCACAGGACTGATTCTACAGCCCCATAAACGCTTTCCCTGTCCCTCTGTCCTTTTTACAAACAGAGTTCCCCTCTCCATATATAACCCCCTTTTAATCAACAGGACCAGCGTGTCTGGCAAGACTGCTGCGTCAGGCCTGTTTTAGGAGACCCCAAGATCCTTCACAGCTCAGGCATCACTGTAGCTGGCTGTGGATTCCAAATTAAACACACAGGTTTATATGTCTGCTGAGACCATGTTATTAACTCAGCCTTTTATGGTGCCCTTTGATGCTGTTAATTATTCTTTACTAGCTGTTAATTGTTTTTCCCCGGACATCTAGTTTCTGAGTCCCTTCTTAGAAGAGAAAAAAGGCAAACAAAACCAAACCCCCAGTTTACCAAACGCAGCAGAATAGCCACTGTGGAGAGTCAGATCCAGCCCAAACAGCTCAGGGCCCCAAGCCCCCAGCCTCATATGGCAGGAGCCTGGGTCTCCAGCCCTAGGGCTCTCTGTGCCGTACCTCTGCCTAGTTACATGCCAGGAAATTGCTCTGCTCTCCCAGCATGGTTTAAAAGGACAGTGAGGCTACTTCAACACTCTGAAAAACAACCTGCCTTTTAACCAAAGTCAAACTCAAATTGAAAGCCAGTCAGCTCTTCCTTTCAGCTGATAATCAGGCTGAGTGAACTTCCAGTTCAATGCAGAGTAGGCTTATCCTGTGTGTCCAAAGCAGTATCTTATAAGCACCCCATCAGCAGATGCACACTTGCCCCTCAAAGGCAGCAGGACAGAGTGCTGTGGGGGTCAGGATGATGCTTTTTTTCCCACACGCAAGGAAGTATGAGGCCCATACCGCTAGGTAAAACTGGGAGGAGATGACTGTACTAGAGAGGAGGAGGAAGGCTCTTACTTGCAGTCGTGCTTTTCGATTTCAAAGTGAGGGTTGAAGTTGAGAATAATCTTCTGGTTGGGTTCAGGGGCATAGATGACCCACTCACAGTTCTGGTGGGAGGGGTAGTCGTTGGGGTACCCCGGGGAGGTGATGTACCCGGCATCCTTGGAGTTCAGGCGGCCCCCGCACGGCTGAGCTGCAGAGACACAGAAGGGAACAAGGCATTGAAATGGGTCCTGGGCATCGGCCGCACACAGCCAGTCCCTCTGGGCCACTGCTAGGGGTGGTCTGATAAAGACCGTTCCCCAGGCTGTTGACATCCATTTGGTACTCTAATATTTCATATTAATCTCTAGGCAAGTGCAATTATTCTACATAACAAACCTACTCCTTTTCCCCTCCACCTCCTGCCACACTGACATACCACATTTCACACAGACCAGAAAAGAGAAATAAATGCTCTTGCTGAGGCTATTACAGAGCCATAAAGTAAGAGACAGATTGATATCGGATCATCTGGAGCCGCCTTGTTGTATCCCTCCTTTTGCCTCCTTTGCAAGGTGCTCTGTGGCAGTCTCCCACAGCTGCCTTGAGAGACACCAAACTTTGGATGTGTACGACCCTCGGTACAGCTGCAGGAGTGCGGAAAGCTTTGCTGGTCCCAAGGAAGGAAACCGAGGCACGGCCGGGCTGATGGCGGGAGCAGGCCCACCCCTGTGCTGTCTTCCCCCCCCCCCCCAACCCCCGCCTGCCCCTGCCGCCCGGCTTGGCAGACTGGCCTCCCGAAACCTTTCAAGCTAACTCCGCCGTTGGAATTGCAGACGTGGATAATCAGCAGCGGTGGTTTTGTGGGGCTAGCCCACAAATGGCTGGCAACGGCTGCGTGGTGAGCAGAGGAAGCACTCTCAGCTTTGGGTTAGAACAGGCCCTAGAGGGTGATTTCATCTTCAAAAAAACATTTAATCTCCTGAACGCTGCAAATCAAATTTATTATCGCATTACTTGCTGGGAGGAAAATCTGCATCACAGGGTCAGTTGATAACGCACTACAAATCCCAGCAAAGTCCCTTTCTTCATGGGGCCCCCGCCATGCGCCTCTCGCTGCCCCCACTCCCCTGCCACTGCCCCGTCCCAGCGCCACGGCCCCACGGGCTGCCACAGCTGCCCCCGGAGACAGCATTGCCTCCTCACCGCCAGCAAAACAGGCAAAAACCAGCAAAATGGCCCAAATCCTGAGCCTCTCCACAGGGCAGGCTGGCAGGCGTACAGGGGTGACCTCGGTGCCACGTTGCAGAGAGGCTTTCCCCTCCCTGATGACAAGCCATGGGGTGTAACATGGGATGCAAACCCTCACGGGCCATCCCCGCTGCGAGACTGTCCCCACAGCCTCCCCACAGCCCCGGAGGGCTCCGGTCCCGCAGGAGGGTGCAAGTGGGCTTTCCCAGGGCCCACATGTGCACACCTTGCAATGGGGCCTGAGGCACACCCCACGTCCCGAGGGAGCTGAGGCAGGGGAGAAGTGTCACCCTCATCGCGGGGCGTGTGGGAGAGCAACCACACGTCCCACGCCCCGCCGGCTCTGCCAGCCGAGGGTCTCCACTGTGCTCCCCATCACCCTGGCCCCGAGGGCAGTTCCTGGCCCTCCCGCAGCAGTGCTTGCTGCCGAGCCCCGGGACAGCCCAGGAAAAGCAAAGTAGCACGGACCCACATGGGCTCAACCCCACGCTGTGGGTCTGGCTGTCCCCCATCCCCGGGGGCCGCCAGGCCCCAGGGGTGTCCCCTGCCAGGCTGTCACAACTCTGCCGCTCTCTCATCCCAGCCTGCCTTCAAGCTGCCCTCTCGCCAGAGCCCATGCGAGAAGCAGGAGCGAAGCAGGACCCCTCGGTGGTAACGCTGCCTGGAAAACAGCACTTTGACTAAACAACCTGCTGCCTGCACGCTTGCCTGCAGAAAGTGCACATGCCCTGTGCGAGAGGAAGGGCAGCAGGAGGGCCTTTCGTGGGGGAGTGAGGCTTCCTTCGCCACAAAAAAGCCCTGTCTCCATTTCCCCCATGTTTTTCATGCCCTCTAACACATTCTTTCTTCAAATTAACTTTCTTCTCACACACCCGAAGGCAGCTCTGCAGCCTTCCCTTTTTTCTTAAAATAATCCTGTAAGTATTCTGAAAAATATGAGGGGAAAAATTGCAATGCTGCCACGGAAGAGCTGAGAATACCAAAAAACATCTGGTTTTGTTCCACAGGAGAGCTTGCTCAACACACAAACATTTACAAACCTACGTTCCTGTGCAAATCTCTTCTCTCAGCAAGGCATATTTGCCCACACACACTTCTACGTGGGTTTGGGGGTAGAGAGAGAGAGAAAGAGACATTCACATGGAAGGAAGAAATTCACGGACTTGTTGACATCAATGTACAAATAGACGTGTAATTCACACTTCACTCATGTACACACTTTCACACCTTCTCATAAAAATTCACACCTCGTTTGCACACATGTCCACCCCCTCCAGCAAAGAGAAATATTCAAGCTGCAGATTATTTTTCTTGGAAAGGGCAAAGTCTCGAAGCAATGAAAATACAGTCAATCCTTCCACACCTCGTCATCCCCTCCCCGTCTCTCCAGCTCGCACACACATGCTACCCGCTAGGCTGATACCACCAACATCACCCACCACTCTGAAGCTGCTAGCCCCTTACTCGCGCCGGGTAGTATGAATACTCTGTGAGCCATTGCAACTGTTTGGAGGGGAACTGCAATGTGAACAGGGGTGTCAAGCTCCAGCTTGCTCCGGCTCTTCCCTGACAAACGAACTCAGAAGCAGAAAACCCTGATCTTAAAAATTCTGCCTCGCCTGGTGGGGCCATGGCAGGTCAGCAGGACTGAGCTAGGGAAATCCCTGGGCTTGATTCTGATTTCAGGTCAGCTGGTGCCCAAGTTAAACTGCTGGTGCCAGCGAGGACAGCCTGAGTGAGAAGGGTTGGAGCCCAGCTCTCTGCCACTGTGGTCTCTGCAGCAACAGAGGGACAAGCAGCGAAACCATTGAGTGGACAGGAGCACCAGCCACATCCCTCAGGTGTTCAGATACCACCAGGAAAATTTCACCATCTTCCTGCAAAAAGCAGGAAAGCTTATCTGAGCCTTCCAGAGGAACAGTGTTTGTCCTCTCATTCACCCCTCCCCAAGAAGTTCCAGAGAAATGAAGGGGCTACTTCAGTACAGTGCTGCCTTGACCACACACAGCACCAGGCCACGTGGTGGGCAACAGCGTACCAGGGAAACTGGGGCTTCTTAGAGTTATCTGAAGAGGCAAAATGACTTTAATATCTTTGTAACTGTTCTATCAGGCTTTTTCTCTTTTGATTCACTGGTATCTAGCAGATTAACACCAGCAACAACAACAAAAAAATCTACCACTGTGCCCACTGACAGGCAAAGGGTTTGCCTCAGCAGACATGCCAACCACTGGCTTTCTGTATAAAATCAGGCCTGTTTTGTCCACAGTAGAGGGTCAAGCTTCTATGTAAATGTGTCTTTTCAAACCGATGCATTGAATCCACGCAAAAAAATATTAAAAAGAAAAAAGGTGAGTGGCATGGCTACTGCCCAGGCTGTATGCTTTGGAAGCAATATGTGCTCCACAGCTAATGGGCTCTGGCAGCTTTTGCCAGCCCTGAATTCACTTAATAAAATTAAAATTAAATTCTGAAGTATAAGCCAAGTCTGCCAGGTGCGTGGGACATCCTGTTGCTCAGCAAGCAAAATGCAGGCATTGCAAGCAAACTGCTGGGGCCCCTGCCAGCCTGCACAGCGGAGGGGCCAGTGGAGTGCTGTGCCGATGGTGAGGCCACGGGAGAGCAGCTGGGCTCCTCAGGGGAGGCTACGGAGGTCGGCACTCCCCAGCGGTGTCGAAGCAGGCTGTGTTCAGAACGGGAAATCCCCAGATCCCCTCCTTCATTAATGCCCACCACATGACTCACGTTATCCCAGCAACCTTCTCCTTGCAGGGCCACCCCAACAGAGGAACTACACCAGAGGATGAGGAGCGAGGCGTAGGAATAGGAAAGGAAGACATGGAGAAGCTCACGAGGGCAGACTCCCGCACAGGCCACAGCGTATGGCAGGCAACTCCAAAAGTTTCCCAGGGAGATGGGTATCAGCAACTGAGCTCCTCACCCTTTGTGAGGTACAGACCCCTCT